ATGATAACCAGGTTCATATGACATACTGAGCTACCTTTAGGCTAACCTAGTTTCTTGTGCTCAAATACTTTGGCCACCTAATGAGAAGGAAGGTCTCACTAGAGAAGAGCCTAATGCTGGGAAAGACTGAGGACAAAAGAAGAAGGGGACGACAGAGAATGAGGTGGCTGGATGGAGTCACTGAAGCAGTAGGCATGAGCTTAAATGGATTCCAGAGGATGATAAGAGGACAGGAAGGCCTGGAAGAATGTTGTTCATGGGGTTGCGATGAGTCGGACACAACTTCGCTACTAACAACAAAGTTTCTTGTGCAAACCCAGTTCTCAGTTTGTGAATCCAAAAGCCACATTCACAAATGATTCGGTGTTAATTGATCCCCAGTCCAGAATTGATTCAATTGTGGTTCTGACCTTATTTATCACTCTAGATTTATTCTGGGGGAGGAAGAGGGCAAGGATTGGAAAGGGGAATTTAAATCCTGCTATGTAAAAATGCAAGAACTTATTTTGGGACACTTTCCTCCATCTTCTCTGGGTGTCACTTAGAATTAGACAACCAGAAGAGGTCTTGGTTGCTTAAGGCTTCCAAAAACATTGGTCTTCCGCAACCTGATCCAAAGGTTGCCACCTAAAATTGTGGTTCTTAAATCTGACAGGTAAAAATTAGCAAATGCATGCAAAGTAATCAAATAAATTGCATTTAATTAATTTGATTTATGTTCAATTTAGCTGCACAAAAATCAGATTTGCAATTTGTCCCAGCCTCCTCTGCTTTTTGGAGTGCAGACTGCAGGATGCTACTGAAATGCCAGATGCTTGGGGAAAAAAAGTCTGCCCTTTAATCCAGCTCAGAGCTACAGTTTGGAAGATCCACCGTAGATACCACTATGCTTGAAATATGCCTGTCTGACTATCCTGATAATATCTTCTAGGATGTCCAATTCCTTACCAGCAGCAGTGAACTGTTTATGTAGGCCACTATATCATTCCAAGCTTTTTAAGATCACCCTCTTGGGAGTCAGCTTCATGATAGTAACACTGTAAAAGGTCTATGCTGCAATTCAGAGGCCCAGATATTTTGTGACTTCCTAACTTCTTTCTGTTAACTGAGACATTTCGCAAACTTTCAGGCGGCACTTTTTCCCAGGTGTGTGTGTGCCATCACCAAAGTAGGATTTTCCCCCCTTCTCCAGATGTTATTGTCTGGTCTGAATGCAACACACAACCTTGGAAGAAATGCTATACAAGTGCAGGGAAGGGGAAGAAACAGTGGTGGGATTCAGCCAGTTCGCACCACTTCGGGAGAACCGGCTGTTAACTTTCCGAGCAGTTTGGCAAATTGGTTGTTGGAAGAAATCATTAGGGCAGAGAACCGGTTGTTAAATTACTTGAATCCCACCACTGGGAAGAAATGAGGCCCTCTGCAGAGAACCCCACTTTTCAGTGGTTGGATCCTGCCGGTTTAACAACTGGTTCAGTGATCACATGTTGTACGTGCCCGCACTTGATGCGCATGCATGCGCAGTTTAGACAAAACTAGACATCCACATTACTTCTGGGGACTAACACAGCTGAAGTGTGGCAATCCGCTCTGCTACATGAATCAGCTGAAAGGACAAAGGTAAGTAAAGCAAGCAGGGGCAGGCAGGCCCACCTGACCATTGGAATGAACCGGTTCGCTCCCAGCTGATCGTTGGAGCTACCGGTATGCCCAAACCAGTCCAAACCGGCTGAATCCCACCTCTGCCACTTTTCTGGGATTACACAGGTTTTTTTTTTACAACTAAGTAACACACAATCTACCTCTGCATATTTACAAAAGGAGCACCCGTTCCTTTCAGCTAAATGATCTAGCTAGCAAATGTTTCCATGGGGTTCTAAATAGAAACTGTACCAACATAAACCACCGGATTGTCATTCCAGCCTCCAAACTAGCAGAGAAATGGAGTCAATTTACCCCATTCTCACCTTTCCTACCTCTGACACACATACAAAGAAGTTGCCATGTGATCAGCCAAAGAGAAAGGATGCTAAACGTCTATAGGGATTCTCAGTCATCCAGGACACGGTTATCCCAAAGGTGCTTTTTTTTTTTTTCAAGAGGCAACTGGACTTTCTGACTTTTCTTTGAAGAGGTTTCACTTCTCAACCAAGAAGCTTCTTCAGCTCTCGAGCTTTTTTAGCTCAAAAGCTGAAGAAGCTTCTTAAATGAGAAGCGAAACCTCTTCAAAGAAAAACAAAGTTCTGTTGCCTCTTGGAAAAAAAAAACACCTTTGGGAGAAAGGATGCTAGTAATTGCTAGCCAAACAACAGAATCCGAGAACTTCATGTCGGATGCCTAATTTGCATGTTTGACTGGCCGTCAGTCAATTTATGCCTTCCTGCTGAGCCAAATTGTTCTGAAAACAACAGAAGTGGCTTTTTTGAGTGCTCCAAAATTGGCACCAGTTTGTGGGATTTTAGTTGCTAGGCAAACATACATGCTAAGGATTTTCAGCTGGGTTGTAACATGCTTTAATTTTCATCTCCAAATGTAAAAATGGGAAAGTGCTGCTAGGTCCATCATCTTCGTTTTCGGATCCCTCTTCATCCATAAACGTTGCTGCCCCTATGTTAAACCATTGCTATTACAGGTAGTCCTCGACTCACGACCACAATAGGAGCCCAAAATTTCTGTTGCAAGGCAAAACAATTGTTAAGGGAGTTTTGCCCCATTTTATGACTTTTCTTGCCACCGTTGTTAAGGGAATCACTCCAGTTGTATTAAGTTAGTCGTTAAGTGAATTTGGCTTCCCCAATGATTTTGCTTGTCCGAAGGTTTGCAAAAGGTGATTGTGTGACCCTGGGACACTGCAACGGTCATAAATATGAGTCAGCTGCCAAGCGTCTGAATTTTTATCACATGACCATGGGAATGCCACAACGGTCGTCAAGTGTGAAAAATAGTCATATGGTTTTTCAAGACCGTTGTAACTAATGAAACTTCAAATGGTCTAAGTGAACTGTTGTAAGTGAAGGAATTCCTATACATTTCTTCTATTTCTTTATTTCTTCTATTATTATTATTTTTTTTGTTGCTGCTGCAGCCACCACTACAAACACCCTCAGTTTTCTAAACTACTTTCAGGTGGTTGTCCTGAGAAGGATAGAAATGTCTTATACTCCAGTCATGTTTAAAAATTAGAATAATTAAGGTCTATTTTGATGATGTGGCTGCCTGGAGGAGAGTTGGGGTGCTCTGAATAGAGTAGCACAGGCTCACAGTTAATGTGAAAAATCTGAAGTACAACGTTTTCTATATATGCAGATATGTGTATGTGAATGCAGAAGGCAAACAGCAAACCGTTTCTGCAGCGTTGCCAGGAAAATTACATGGTTTTTTAAAAAAATATATACCTATATATACACACGAACTCACCAGAAACTAAGTTTGACTTTATATGCACACAGACCACACACATACATACACCCACAGTAAGACCTGCTTATCGGTCCAATGGTCTATCAAGTCCAGTGATGGACTTACCCCTCGCTGCAGATTTCAAATGAGAAGCTTGTAGCTTAGCATGAAGGATTTTGTGGCTTCTTGTGCTGAGCAAGGAGTCAGGCCTGAATGACTTAAGAGGTCCCTTCCAATTCATACAAGTGAATTCACTCAGTAGAATTCATTCCAATGTATGCATCTGTGCATCCCCTCCATACATACTATATGTGCTAGGAAAGTTAAGGGAAATGCAAACAAGGGAGAAGTAGTACTGTAGCTACACTCCTGTCTATGGCTCGCCGAGAACTATGTTCATACAGTTTATTTCATAGAATTATGGATAATTCGCACAATATACTGAACCCTAAAACTATTGAGCAGGCTGTGCCTCCATATTACGTTATCCCCCAGCACCCTCTCAGATATAAACTGAGGTCAACTCAAACCTGACCCACCTCTGCTTCATTTGCAATCAATCTGGTTTAATCCCACAGATAGAAGAAGCATCATTCAGTTTGAGGGAGCTTAATCAGAGGAAAGTCACATGAGTTACAATCTCACTCACGTAGTCTGGGGGGACACCAAGGTGTGGAAGATAAACTCTGGCACCTCTTTTCTAGAACAATTTCCTCTCCTTATCACATATCACCAAGCTGTTCCTGGCTACTGGTTGACTGAGCTATCATCATCTTTGCAGTTAAGGCTATTATGGTCTGTGGTGGTGGACCAATCCATGCTCTCACTGGAAAAACTCAACTGAGATGTCCATCCTAAAGCAGGAACAACTTCACATCAGGCTTCAAGACAATTAGCACTTCCTTGATCAATTTTAAACCCTTACCCTACAATCATGTATATATATATATATATCATTTACCTCTAGGATCATTGTAGCAAAATGTGTTAAGATAGTAAGCTGGAGCAACCTCCAAAATTCTGTTTGGAAATCTTTGTATAAGACAGATTTGAGTAAGATCAATAGAGACTGAATATTGACTATGAAGCTATTTATACATTGGATCAAGGCGCCCAATAACTTTTTACAGCATTGTTGGAAAACAGGATAGGAAGGAAGACTCTGCATTGGCTTTTGTGAAATGCCCAGCATAACTTCGTTTTCCTTACATAAAAGTGTCGATGGGAAAAGCAGAAAGTGGATGAGTGGAATGCACTGGTTGGAAAACACAAAACGCTGGACCAGTCTTATGTCTCGTAGATGAAGAACAAAACTCCTCTGAACCAGCTTCATTCCTATTCGTGTCTCCAGACACAGATTTCTCACAAGTTCCTTCATCAACTTGAATCAAAAAACCCTGAAGTCTGATGAACTTGTAGAAACCATGGTCTCGAACTTGCTGTGGTGATGTGGACATTCCATTTCCTGGAATGTGGGACATTTAAAAACAGATGCGTGAAAGTGTCCAGTAGGCGACCCTACCACGCAACCAGCGCTGAGACTTGATCAATGCATCCTTGTTTTCATCTACTGCTACCACATCAAAAATATAATTCAGGGCTTATGGTTTTCTTCTTTTTTTTTATTGCATTAGGAAACGGAAAAAAAAAAACCATTAAAGCATTAAGACAGCCCTTTGATGTCCCTGCCAAGAGGATATGGTTGATTTACAGATATGCTGCCGGATACAGTTTCCTTGCTGAACCGTTCCTCTTAACCTTCGCTCTCGTTCACACCTGCTCTCTCTTTCTTTCTCTCTCTCTCCTTTGCCCGTTGATTTGAAAGTTGGTCAGGGAGAAAGTTCACCGGGCAGCATGCGCATGCGTGGATCATTTGTTTCACAGTGTTATGGCTACTCCATGCCACTTCGGAGGATTTGATTGGCTGCGATCAACATGACGCTGATAATAAAGGCCATAGCAAAAGCGCATATTAAACTCTTCCGTACGCAGGTCTGTCGGTTTTGTTTCTGGGAATGCACTAAAAAGAAAGAAAGGAAAAGGAGGGGGAAGAGTTAAAAAGTTAAAAATCAATTCTTTCTGTTTTAACAACAGATGTTGGTCTTTTTTTGGAGCAGTTTTTATCTGGCCTATAAAAGGGGAATCAAATAACAATTACAGCAGCATGTAGACTTATAGACCGCTTCACACTGCTTTACAGCCCTCTCTAAGTGGTTTACAGAGTCAACCACTTAGGCGAGACCGCCTTCTGCTGCCAATAGCCTCCCACCGACCGGTTCGCTCGCACAGAGAGGGCCTCCTCAGGGTGCCATCGGCCAGACAGTGCTGGCTGGCGACCCCCAGGGGAAGAGCCTTCTCTGTGGCAGCACCTGCCCTCTGGAATGACCTACCCCCTGAGATACGCACGATATCAGACCTCCGGACTTTTCGTCGGGCCCTGAAAACACACTTATTCCATCTAGCCGGGCTGGCTTGATCCCATCCTCTCAGTTTTAATTGAATTCGGTTTTAATTGGGTTGTTTTAAATCTTGGGCTGAAATTATTTAATTGTTTTTTAAACTGTTTTTAAATTTTATATGCAATGTTTTATCTTGGCTGTACACCACCCTGAGTCCCGCAGGAGAAGGGCGGTATAGAAATAAAATAAAATAAAAATAAATAAATAAAACATATTGCCCCCGACAATTTGGGTCCTCATTTTAATGACCTCGAAAGGATGGAAGGCTGAGTCAACCTTGAGCTGGTCAGGATCGAATTCCTGGCAGTGGGCGGAGTCAGCCTGCAATACTACATTCTAACCACTATGCCACCAAGGCTCCAAATGTAATTGCTTCCATGAGATTTCTTGTTCCTTGTTCTCATCTACTGCTACCACATCAAAAATATTAAATATTCCATCAGCCGAGGCCTCAGGGGAGGGGCGGGGGAGTAGCGGTTATTATTAGAGAAGGTCTTAGGCCGAGGGAGACCACTGTTCCTCAGACGGCCGGTTGTGAGTCCCTCCTTGTGAAGTGGGGTCATGGGGTTCAGATGGGCTTGTTGATCACGTACCTGGCTCCCTGCCACGTGGCTGCAGCCCTGCCCGAGCTACTCAATGTTATCGGTGGCGGTTGATACCCCCAGACTTACGGTCATGGGGGATTTTAATCTGCCATCCGCGGGTTAGGCATCTGAGGTGGCTCGGGAGTTCATGGCTTCCATGACGGCCATGGACCTGACCCAGCTAATTCATGGCCCTACGCACAGGGGGGGAAACACACTGGACCTGGTTTTTGTCTCTGGACAGTGGTTGAGTGATCTTGAGATAGGGGACATAGTCATTGAGCCCTTGTCATGGTCAGATCACTCCCTCCTTCGCCTTGACCTTCGAACCGCGGTACCCCACCACAGGGAGGCGGAACCAGTAAGATGATACAGCCCCAGGCGCCTGATGGAACCTGATAGGTTCCAGATGGAGCTTGGGCCAATCCCTGAGGATCTTGCACACGCCTCGGCTGGAGACCTAGTGGCCGCCTGGGATAGAGTGGCCACTGGAGCTCTGGATCGAGTAGTGCCTTTGCGGCCTCTGACCTGGCGCCGTTCTCACCTGGCTCCTTGGTTCACCGAGGAGCTGAGGGAGATGAAGCGCTGGAAAAGATGCCTAGAGAGTAGTTGGAGGGCTAGTGTTTCTGAATCAGACCGGACACTGGTAAGATCTCATATTAAGAATTACCTAGTGGCGATAAAAGCAGCAAAATGTACCCATTTTGCTGCTCTTATTGTGTCATCAGATAATCGCCCGGCCACCCTGTTTAGGGTGACCCGCTCCCTGCTCCACCAGGAAGCGCGGGAGGACCCCTTGGAGGGAAGAGCCGAGGACTTTGTTCAATATCTGCATGACAAAATCACTTAGATTCAGGAAGGTCTGGACTCCGACTGGGTAGGTCCAGTGAGGGTGACGGAGGCAGGTCTTGAGAATGTTATCTGGGACGAGTTTGATCCTGTGACCCCAGATGACGTGGACAGGATTCTGGGCAGACTGAACGTGACATGTTTGTTGGACCCATGTCCCTCCTGGTTAGTACTGGCTTCCCGGGAGGTGACGCGAGGCTGGCTCCAGGGGATTATAAATGCTTCATTGGGTGAGGGTACCTTCCCTGCCACCTTGAAGGAGGCGGTGGTGAGGCCTCTCCTCAAGAAGCCTTCCCTGGACCCGGCAGTATTGGCTAATTATCGTCCAGTCTCCAACCTTCGCTTCATTGCGAAGGTTGTTGAGAGTGTGGTTGCGCGACAGCTTCCCCAGTACCTGGATGAAACGTCGTATCTAGATCCGTTCCAGTCGGGTTTCAGGCCTGGGTACAGCACGGAAACAGCATTGGTCGCGTTGGTTGATGATCTCTGGAGGGCTCGGGACAGCGGTTGCTCCTCTGTCTTGGTCCTGTTAAATCTCTCAGCGGCTTTTGATACCATCGACCATGGTATCATGCTGCACCGGTTGGAAGAGTTGGGGGTGGGAGGCACCGTACTACGGTGGTTCTCCTCCTTTCTCTCCGACCGGTCGCAGTCTGTGTTGACAGGGGGGCAGAGGTCGACCCCGAGGCCCCTCATATGTGGGGTGCCACAGGGATCGGTCCTCTCACCCCTTTTGTTCAACATTTATGTAAAGCCGCTGGGTGAGATCATCCGTGGTTTCGGGGTGAAGTACCATCAGTACGCTGACGACACCCAGCTGTACATCTCCACCCCGGACCACCCCAACGATGCCCTTGAAGTGATGTCCTGGTGCCTGGAGGCCATACGGATCTCGATGGGGAGGAACAGGCTCAGGCTCAACCCATCCAAGACTGAGTGGCTGTGGTTTCCGACGTCCCGATATAGTCAGCTGGTGCCATCGCTGACTATTGGGGGTGAATCATTGGCCCCCACGGAAAGGGCTCGCAACTTGGGCGTCCTCCTGGATTCACAGCTGTCTTTAGAAGAGCACTTGACGGCCGTGACCGGCAGGATTTTCATCAGGTTCGCCTGATCCGCCAGTTGCGTCCCTTTCTAGATCGGGACTCCCTACACACAGTCACTCATGCCCTCGTCACCTCTCGTCTGGACTATTGTAATGCTCTCTACGTGGGGCTCCCCTTGAGGTGCACTCGGAGGCTCCAACTGGCGCAGAGTGTGGCCGCACGGGTGGTTATGGGAGCAACATGGAGCTCCCATGTAACACCTCTCCTGCGCGAGCTGCACTGGCTCCTGGTGGTCTTCCGAGTGCGCTTCAAGGTTTTGGTTACCACCTTTAAAGCGCTCCATGGCTTAGGACCTGCTTATCTACGGGACCGCCTGCTACCACCAATAGCCTCCCACCGGCCAGTACGCTCCCATAGAGAGGGGCTCCTCCGGGTGCCGTCGGCCAAACAATGTCGACTGGCGGCCCCTAGGGGGAGAGCCTTCTCTGTGGGGGCACCTACGATCTGGAACGAGCTCCCCCTGGAGATACGGAGGATCCCGGATCTTCGCACCTTCCGTCGCGCACTTAAAACATTTTTATTTCATCAAGCTGGCCTGGCCTAAATCTTCTCCTTTTTAAATTTAAATTTTAAACATAAATTTTAATTTGTTTAATTATGGGGTATTTTAAAATTCAGCCTAAATTATTTAATTCATTTTAATTCATTTTAAATTTTGTATTTCTGTGTTTTATCTTCTGGCTGTTCACCGCCCTGAGTCCTTCGGGAGAAGGGCGGTATAGAAATTTAATAAAATAAATAAATAAATAAATAAAAGATGTAGCTCAGGGTTGAATCATTGCACTCTAGAAATGGCTAGTATTTACTAAGTACGCAGAAGTAAAAAGTTGGGGCTGTAATTTTACTTTGTAATTTACTGAAAAAAGTTGGAAATCAATGCTTCCCCCTCACGTTTTTTCCTTTACCCCACACTTGTCCTTTCTTTTCCCTTCCCATTTCCCTACTCTCTTTATTTTCATCTCTATTTTAAAATATACAATTATAGAATCATTGGGCTGGAAGCAGTGGTGAAATCCAATTTTTTTTTACTACCGGTTCTGTGGGCGTGGTGTGGCTTGGTGGGCGTGGCAAGGGAAGGATACTGCAAAATCTCCATTCCCACCCCACTCCAGGAGAAGGATACTGTAAAATCCTCATTCCCAACCCTCTCTGGGGTCAGCCAGAAGTGGTATTTGCTGGTTCTCCGAACTGCTCAAAATTTCCGCTACCGGTTCTCCAGAACCTGTCAGAACCTGCTGGATTTCACCCCTGGCTGGAAGGGACCTTGGAGGTCTTCTAGTCCAACCCCTCCCCCTGCTCAAGCAGGTGACCCTATACTATATTCTGGACAAATGGCTGTCCAGTCTCTTCTTGAAAACCTTTTATTATTTATTATAATAATCCTGATAAAAACCTCTGAAAAAATAATAAAAAAGAAATATTGGATTCTTGGTGTAATGGATCGTTAGTGCAACTGATAATGTTAACTTTGCCTTATAATAAAAAGTCTACAGGAAAAAAGAGACCACCAAGAGGCCAATATCTTCCAGGTGATCATTTAAAAACACTCTCAAAAGGAAAGTCAGAAGGAAAGAAGTACTAAGCCACATGATGGCAGTAGATCCTGACAATTTCCTCAACTACCAGGCCCACATGTTGTACAAAGCCATGATTTAAATAATTTGTTAAATAAACCACATTTGGCTGAGCTTTAACTATCTTCTTGGCCAGGGGTGGGCAACTGTGGCCTTTTTACAACCTGTGGACTTTAACTCCCAGAATTCCTGTTCCTGAAGTGGCAGAATCTAGGGGCAGAGTCAAAAGAGGAATCTATGTAGAATCTCTACATAGACACAAAAAATGACTCAGTCCAACTCCTCTTAACTTCCACTAACCCTTATCTGGCACCAAAATAGTATTAACTCAGGGGTGAAATGCTCTTGGTTCAGACCGGATCGCCTGATCCGGTAGCGATGGCGGCGGTTGGTGGTTCGGAGAAACGGTAGCAAAAATCCCTGCCCTCCTCCCCATGCCCAGCTGTGCCGCACAATCATCAGAGGCTTTTTTTTTACTTTTAAAAGCATTTTTTCTACAACCTCTTCAGCTGAAAAAATGCTTTTAAAAGTAAAAAAAAAAGCCTCTGATGATCGCGCAGCTCAGCTGGGATCATCAAAGGCTTTTAAAAGAAAAAAAAACCTTTTTTCTTTTAAATGCCTCTGACGATCCCAGCTGAGTTGCTTGATGCAGCAGAGGCTTTTTAAAAAAGCCTCTGACGATCAGGCAACTCAGCTGGGATCGTCAGAGCCTTTTGAAAGCATTCTCCGAAGAGGTTGTAGAAAAAATGCTTTTAAAAGTAAAAAAAAAAAAAAATTGGCCACGCCCACCCAGTCACATTATCCCCACACACACACACCAAGCCACACCCACAGAACTGGTAGTAACAAATTTTAGATTTCATCACTGTATTAACTGTTAGTTGAATGCATTCCTATGCATAGTGCATAGTTCCATTAAACCAGTTTAATTGGAAGCTCACGTGTGATCCTGGACTTTCACATTTTATAGTCCCACGATCATGTGACCACGATTCATGATTTTCTTTGCTGGAAACCAGTATTTACTTCTGGTTTCCAGCAAAAAAAAAAAAAAAAGCCATTGCAGACAATGGTTCACTTAATGGTCATGGCATTCATTTAATGACTGCACCGTTTGCTTTACAAACATCACATTTAATTAACGACTGCTGCCAAACATGGAAAATCAGGCTTGGTCGCGTGATTGCCTCAACTTATAACCTTCATAACATATGACACAAATTCCAGGCTCCGGTATGGGAGAAAGTTGAGGATTACCTGTACAAGTGAAACATTTCACTTCTTCAACGCGCTCTATGAGAAAGAAGAAAGTCAAATTATTTTATGTGCTCTACGTATGACAGAAACCCACCTTCAAATTCCGTTTGACAATTACCAGAGTTCTCATTTAAACTCTCCTCTTCAGTGATGATAATATTTTCAATGTCCTTCATTGTTAAGTGATCCTGGAATGCATGATAGAGGATGTGTTTAAGCTCCTCCAGTGTTATCCGTTGCATGTCAAACTAGGGAGAAAAAGTGAGAATTTAGTCAGAGTTTACACTATCAAATGCTTTTGCACTTTGTTCAAATCTGTTCCCCAATTTTATAAGAGATATACGCCCATGAAGAAATGCCTCTTCTCAGAGCTTTTCAGAGCAAAATGAAGCTTGGGGTTAGCCATTGAAATGGGACCTGCTGCCTTCCCAAATCCAATAACCAGTTATTGTAATTAAAATTGTACAGCTCTTGGGATATCCTCAGGATGTCTGTGAAATCTGCACACACACACAATATCAATTGTTTGGTTTTATCCTAAGGCATCCTTCTGAAGAACTTGAACACAGAACATGACTGTGTGAAGGTTAGCTGGATGGACCTTTGGAGGCTGACCTCCTCAGTGTGAGACACAACCAAGTAGCTATGGAATCTATGCAGAGACATAACAGAATAACAGAGTTGGAAGGGACCTTGGAGGTCTTCTAGTCCAACCCCCTGCTTAGGCAGGAAACCCTACACCACTTCAGACAAATGGTTATCTAACATTTTCTTGAAAACTTCCGGTGTTGGAGCATTCACAACTTCTGGAGGCAAGTTGTTCCACTGATTAATTGTTCTAACTGTCAGGACATTTCTCCTTAGTTCTAGGTTGCTTCTCTCCTTGATTAGTTTCGACCCATTGCTTCTTGTCCTGCCCTTAGGTGCTTTGGAGAATAACTTGACTCTCTCTTCTTTGTGGCAGCCCCTGAGATATTGGAACACTGCTATCATGTCACCCCTGGTCCTTCTTTTCATTATTTGTTTATTTACATAATTCCTTTGGTTACATCATGAAGCAGAGTCATGTCTATATGGAAGTTGGCTGAATAATAAGAGAACATAGACAGGAACAGATAGTCTTCTAGTGTCTATGGAGATTCTCAATCATCCAGGTCATGGTTGTCCAAGAGGTACTTTTCCAAAAGGCAACTAGACTTAACTGAACTGAAGAAGGTTTTTGGATGAGAAGCAAAACATTTTAAAGGAAAAAACCAAGAAAGTCCAATTGCCTTTTGGAGAAGCACCTTTGGGATAGTCTTCCAGTCCAATCCCATCTGAACAGGGCACCCAAGACTGCACACTCAACACAAGGAAGCAAGCATTTTATCCTGAGATAGCAACAGATTAGGTGTCCTGGGTTGGATGAACCCAATAGTTACACATGTACACATATATTATAATTACAGGTAGATACATAGACATCTAACTTAAAAAAAACATAATTCACTTCTGTCCTTTACTTTCCGCACAGACCCATTAACTATTTCTTATTCTTTTATGCCATCGCGATCATTATTTAAACATTCTGTTATCGCCTTTTATTTAATCTATAAAATCCCTTTATCATGTTTGCAATAATATTTCAGTGACAACATTTGACGAGGTCAGGGAAATGAGCAGTTCTACTGAAAACTCATCATATCTATTGGTGAATTCTCCATGGATTCCATATATTTTTGTGAATTAGATATCGTATGATGTAGCTCAACAAAAAGCAAAAATCTCAAACCTCTGGTAGTGGTGATGATGACAAATAACAATAGCACAACAGCTATAGGTCGTCCTCAATTTTCAACAGTTTGTTTTGTGACTGTTCAAAGTTACAACACTGAAAAATGTGACTTATGACCGTTTTTCATAGTTACGACCTTTGCAGCATCCCTATGATCACGTGATCAAAATTCAGATGCTTGGCAACTGGTTCATATGTATTTATGATGTCCTAGGATCATGTGATCCTTTTTTGCAACCTTCTGACAAGCAAAGTCAAATGGGGAAGACAGATTCACTTAACAACCAGGTTACTAATTTATCAACTGCAGTGATTCACTTAACAAATGTGGCAAACCAGGGGTGAAATCCAGCAGGTTCTGACAGGTTCTGGAGAACTGGTAGCGAATATTTTGAGTAGTTCGGAGAACCTGCAAATACCACCTCTGGCTGGCCCCAGAGTGGGGTGGGAATGGAGATTTTGCAATATCCTTCCCCCAGGAGTGGGGAGGGAATGGGGCTTTTGCAATATCCTTCCCCCAGGAGTGGGGAGAGAATGGGGCTTTTGCAGTATTCTTTCTCTGTCACACCCACCAAGCCATGCCCACCAAGTCACACCACGCCTACCAAGCCATGCCCATAGAACCGATAGTAAAAAAATTTGGGTTTCACCACTGCTTAACACATGTCTCACTTAAGAACATACATTTGGGACTCACTTGTGGTCATAACTCAAGGACTACCCATACAGAAACCCATACAGAAACCAAAAAAAAGAGCCTTGGTACTACAGGGGTTTAAGGCACCCTGTTATTAAGCTTATTAAGACCAGCTGCCTGCAATTACTGCAGGGTTCGAATCTCGCCAAGGCTCAAGGTTGACTCAGCCTTCCATCCTTTCTAAGGTAGGTGAAATGAGGACCCAGTTGTGGGGGCAATAAGCTGACTTTGTATAAATATACAAAAGGATGAAGGCTATTGCTGAGCACATTGTAAGCCGCCCTGAGTCTTCGGAGAAGGGCGGCATATAAATCAAATTTAAAAAAAAAAAAAAAAATTGCACACAGCACAACGTAGCACAAATACAATCTATGTCAAGTATCAGATCCTAAACTCTAAAACTGGTTGATGCCGGATACATATTTTTAAGAGTGAGCTTGATAGAAGAGCTGAAAAGGTTATTATTCTCCTGTTCCCCACAAGAGGTAGCCAAACACATTTTTTAAAAAAACAGCTCATGAAATGTGATTGTCACAAATGACACTGGCTTTTTATAGTAACTCCAGATGCAAGAGAAAAGAAATGCAGAGTTTGTAAATCACCCAGTTTATGACTTGGTAAGTCAGCCAGTCAGGTGGGCATCACTGTCAACCGTGGATGAAAAAAGGATAAAATTTTAGCAATTGATTGATTGCTATTTTTAGTAACGACTGTGCAGGTGAAGTGGTTGGGTAGGTGAGCTTTTTGGCATTATAGCATAGGTTTCATTGAGTCACAAAAAGGAAAGTTGTTTTTTTTTTAAAAAAAATGCCCTTGCAATTATTACATAGAACTCCACATTGCACAAAGAGCATCTTTTAAAACAGAAATAGAACATTGGTCTTCTGGATGGAGGATGAAAACAGCCAGAAATGAATGGAAGTTGTTTTCAAATTATTTGGATGATCAGAAGCTGTGCTGAGTGCTCTTACTTTCAGATACAAGGTATACGATGGCTACAGTCAGATCCGGTTGATGATGGATACGTCCTCACTGCCAGAGATAAAATACAGTACAAGTATTCCTCACTTACTGATTAAAGTTGGGACTGGTAACACTTTTGCTAATCATCATCATCTCCTTTTCACGATCCCATAATCCCATGCGGGGTAGAGTCTGGGCAACTGAATAAAGCTAGCAGAGTGTTTTAATGGCCGGATGCCCTTCCTATCGCCAATGCGGAGTTTTGTTCAGAAGATACAATCCCAGTGTGCCCAGAGAGAGAAATATCTGCCTCTACCTAGTATCAAACTCACAGCCTCATGACAGGCCACAGCACCACTCCCAACACTTTTGCTAATGATGCAGTCATAAAGTAGAACATCACGTGACCATGCCTGAGTTACCAATGCCAGTTAATCAGTTCTACTTGAAGTTTAGCACCATGTCACATGACTGTGACCGGTTATAAGTCTCCTTTTCAATATTTTTGTGACTTCAAATAATCACAGAACAAGTGGTTGGTGGAGGAAGATTAGAAGCAATTTTTTTTTGGCTATCCTTCAACAAGTGACAAAACATATCGTATTTTTCGGAGTATAAGACGCACCGAAGTATAAGACACACCTTAGTTTTTGGGGAGGAAAATAAGAAAAAAGCTGATTGGCAGGTGGATCGGCCTCCCAGAATATCCCCAATCAGCTGATCCCAGAGGTGAATTTTAGCAACAGGTTCCTTGGTTGTGAGCTCTGTGCCTTGCTTCTTTTTGCTTTTTTTCTGCTTCTGAAACTTCTGAAACTCCGTTTCAGAAAAAACTTTTTTTTCTGCCTCTGAAAGCCTCCAAAACAGCTTCAGGAAAAAAGCCTCTAAAGCTCTGTTTGGGGGCTTCTTTTCTGAAGCTCTGTTTGGAGGCTTTTTTTCTGAAGCTCTGTTTGGGGGATTCTTTTCTGAAGCTTCGTTTCTGATGCTTTTTTCAGCCTCTGAAACCTCCATTTGAGAAGCTGGGCAGGGCTACATTCAGAGTATAAGACACACCCAGATTTTCACCCTCTTTTTGGGGAGAAAAAGATGCATCTTATACTCCAAAAAATATGGTAATCGCCTTTAGCGACTTTCAGAAGCTAAGAATAATCCTTGTTATTGAAGAGGATTCCTGGACAATTACCTATATCAGAAAGATTGCAGAAGAAGAAAATGGTGTTTTCTTCTATATTGTTGTCAAGGAAACAACACAGAAGTTGGGCTTAACTCAAAGGACACATTGCTTGGTCTCAGACATTAAGTAACATCAGCCCCAGTGAGGATTTGGATGGGAGACCACCCAGATTAGTGTTTTTCAACGTTGGCAGTTTGAAGATGTATGTAGATCAGCTTCCAGAATTCCCCAGCCAGCATGCTGGTTGAGAAGCATTGACCTAGATATTTCAAAGCTTTAGGACAGAATGGGAAGTTGGAAACACAAATTGTAAGAGACAATAGCAACTCATTTCTGCAATACTGCCAAGGGTACAGATGTAATCACCCAAAGTGAATATATGTAGTCACCAGAAATCTAGCTTAATTTAAGGGTGCCTATGTGTATTTTTCATAATGTGTGTGATGACATCATGATGCATCCAACATCACTGTGATTTCTGCCAGATGCCTATCACTTTATCCTAAAAGATAAAGGTTCCCCTTGCACATATATGCTAGTTCCCGGCTCTAGGGGGCAGTGCTTATCTCCATTTCAAAGCCGAAGAGCCAGCGCTGTCTGAAGACGTCTCCGTGATCATGTGGCCTGCATGACTCAATGCCAA